AAAATTGAGCAACTTAAGGGAAGAAGGTTATATTTTTTGTTTCTTGCTGAGTGTGCTGTGCTTACGTATTTTTCGAAATGTATCAGTAAGGATTAGGTTTGGCTTCCCATAACATGAAAACCCAATATGATAGAGTCTTGAGCAATAGAGAAACTACTTCTTTCTCTTGTAAAACAAGGTAGGAAATAAGCAGGACTTGTATGTATCTCTAAGAAGTCTTCAAGGAGCAAGCCTGCTTCTAGGCCTCACTCTCCTTAAGTGCTTTATTCTCATAGTCCAGGAAGACTGCTTTATTCAGTCTATACTAATGAGTATGAGGCTTATAATGGAAGAAGAGAAGAATGTGCTCCCTTCTGTTTATAGTGCCTTGCTGGAAGTCTCACATGACACTTCAGATTACATCCCACTGACCATAAAGTATTCCACGGATATACCTCACATCTGGAAAGGATGGCAAGTTGTCTCTTAGTGAGGCAGCAAGAGGACAAGCTTAAATCTGAGTTTTTGTTACTGGGAAAGAAGGATGGCTGGGCAGGGTGGCTCATGCCTGTAATCCCAGCACTTTGGGAGACTAAGATGGGCAGATCACCTGAGACCAGACTGGCCAACATGGTGAAACCCTGTCTTTACTAAAAATACAAAAATTAGCTGGGTGTGGTGGTGGGCCCCTGTAATCCCAGCTACTTAGGAGGCCGGGACAGTAAAATCGCTTGAACCCAGGAGGCGGAGGTTGCAGTAAGCCGAGATTGTGCCATTGCACTCCAGCCTGGGCGACAAGAAGGGAATGATGGATGTTGGAAATATCATTATTTTCCATCCCAGTTCCAATTCATCTCTTTAGTCAAATGGTCTCCTGAACACATTTGCATTTTCCCACTTCTCCTTTCCTCCTGTGGGGTTTTCTCTGCTTAAAGAGTGTGCTTTGCTGCCTCCAGCTAGTGAAACGCACCTTTTCCATGAATCCTTCCCTGAGTGCTCTCTTGAAAGAAAGCTATTTCATTTTGGGATTTCTATAACACTTACTTTCTCTACCATTCATGTATTTATCACACCTTACCTTACATAACAGTCATTTGTATATATTTGTATATATGTTTTATCCTTCTGTTAGATTGTGAATGTCAGAGAGCTGAGGACCAGTTTTAGGTATGACTGCATCCCCAAATATGGCTTGGCTTTGGCTATATTCATTAATTCAACAAAAATTTCTTGAATGAATACCCTATGCGAGGATACTGTGATGAGCAAGAGTCACATGTCTTTCGGGGAGACAGACTAACATACAATGTGTGGCAAGTGCTTTTGCTAAAGAAATAAATGAATTGTACCCCCTTCACTTATTTTGCAGTTCTAAGTTGAAAAAGTAAGCATATTTAATCTTATTTCTTAGAACAGATTAGCACAGTTTTAGAAAACCACAGCAATGAGTTACGAATACTTGAAGTAATATGATATCCATCTTTATAAGACTAGCATCTGTAATTAGTAAATAATACAAATGTTTAGTAAAGTTGGACAATTTGGGGGCTGCAGCTGCTCTAGAACAGAAGTCCCCAACCTTTTTGGCACCAGGGATTGGTTTCATGGAAGACAATTTTTCCACAGATGAGGTTGGGGGGATCGTTTCAGTGGCATTAGATTCTTATAAGGAACATGCAACCTACATCCCTCGCATGGATGTTCTTGCTCTTATGAGAATCTAATGCCGTTGCTGATCTGACAGGAGGCAGAGCTCCGGTGATAATGTTTGACTGCTGCTCACCTGCTGGGCGGCCCCGTTCCTAACAGGCCACGAACTGGTAGTGGTCCACGACTGGGAGGTTAGGGACCCCTTCTGTAGAATACTCTCTCTCACTCTTGCCATCCCACTTTCTCCCCATCTCCTTTCTCTTTCTCTTTCTCATCATTTTTTCCTCACTTCTCAAAAGGTTGTGGGGCAACTTACAAAAATATATAGCATGTAACAAGATAAAATATAATTAAATATAAGTAGGTCAAACAATTGAAGAAAAGATCGAAAAAATAAGCCAGAGTGAGATTAGTAAACGGAAAGAACCAATGGATGTTTTAAGGGCTTCTAACATTTTGCTAGGAGTACACTCTAAATTTAGACCTAAAATTTAGAGCAGCCAACACAGAGTATCATGATCAGTTACACAAAATAGTGTATTTTCTTTGACGATGTCTGTAAGTAGCTGAAAAGTCGGATTAATGTATGTTTATAGGGATTACTTGAAGGTTAGTGCTAGTTACAGGGGTTCTTCCCCCCACCCCGTTTTGGTTTGTTACATATGCAGATAGCTTAAAGTATTTGCTGATAGAAATATGTTCCCCAAGGCTACTTCTGGATCTGGACACAGCTGTCCACTGTCCACCCCCCAGTCACTGCCCCCAGCTGAATAACCCAAGTTGCTGTGCTTCACCTGGGTCTTTAAAGCAACTCTGCCTCCTTGCATATGCAGAAATTCTTATTGTTACTATTTCAGGTAGTTTCTAAGCCAGGAAAATTGTTTACTTGTCTTTTAATGAGCACTGCCTCAGTCATAAGCATAGCAGAAGGTAGAGGAGAATGACTCCCTCTTAATGTGACTTTTCCAAGAGGGGGAATAATTATAGTTCTTAGAAGCAGGAAGAACTCTGGCTATGGAGACTGAAAATTGTTTGTTACAACATTAAGCCTATTACTGCCATATCCAGTAAGCCTTGACTCTCCCCTCCCTTTAATTGATAGTTGGTTTAGGAGTATAATTGAGATGCAGAGTTGATTGCATTTAAGAAAAGTAGATCACAACCTTAGGTTTGATCAATAGCTCCTTTAGAGCTTTTTAAAAAGTCCATATTGCCAGGCTGTATATCTAGAGACTCTGAATTAGTAGGTCTAGGTCTGGGAATCAGTATTTTAATAATACTTGATAAAGGATTCTAATAAGCCGTGGGTTAGAGATTTGCTATTTTAGGCCTTGTTGTGTGGCTTCTGACATACCACTTTGAATGCTGAGGAGTCTGCTAAGCCGAAGGTTATCTTTCAGTAAACCCAAGTCTAGAAGGTAGGCCAATGGTGGGATTCTGGCCTTATTGATCCCCCATTGATTTGCAGTGTTTTGTTATGTGTGGTCTGTAAGCATCCTAGGTGGTGTGTGCTGGGCTTCCAGATTGAGTCTTTTCTTCATTGCTGAAGTGAAAGGCCCCGTGGCACCTTGGAAAGCATGTTCAACCTTGGAGTCTGGAGTCCTGGGTTCAAGTTCTGTCTTTATTACATATTAATTCTACAATTGCAACCAAGTCACATAGCTTTCTTGAGTTTGTTTGTTTTTACAATGGAGATAAAAGTTAAATTTTCTGTGTCCTAAGGTGGTTGTGAGGATTCTGACATACACGCTATGAAAGTGATTTGTGGGCTGTCAAGTGCTCTGTATATATAAAGGATTATTTTTAATGAAATGTTTTCTCATTAATGGATTGACAGTCTCTTGTTGATAAAGAAACTACAGCCATGTGTGGGTTTTCTGGTCATTTCACAGCCAGCAGTGCAGTGCTGAGATAGTAGAACTACTGTAGGAATATCATAGAGGCTGTAGGGGATGTTAGCAGGACCAAAATAGGTAGGGGCACCACAACATCTCCAGGACTAAGGCAGATACCTACTGTCTGATCATCTGATCATCCCTAGCTTACAACAACTCCTCCTTTTCTGAGAAATGCATATGGGTACCTGTTTATACACTATCTGGGGCTGCTTCCGATATATCTAGGGGTAGACCGTGACCCAACCCAAACTGAGCCAAGCATATTCTTCAAGAAGAAACTAGTCCTGGGTCAATAAGAGCATCGAATTGAGAATCCACATGGGATTCTGGGTGTTTAGAAGGAAGAGTTGAGGATCAACAGTGAGGATTATTCCTGACAGGAGTTTCTCCAAGGTCATACCTATTCTGAATCTTGTTTGATGCAAATTGTTGGTAGGCACACCTTTTCTAGTGATTGAAAAAAATCTAAAATCTACTAACGTCTTCGTGCTGAGAGAAACATTTGTGCTTGTGTTGGCCATTTCTAGTTTCTGAAATGATAAGATCGAGGGAAAAAGATGCCTGTTTGTGGCAAGTTTTGCTAAGTTCAAGGTCTAATCACCTAAGGAAGCTGTATGATGACCCATCATAGCAGGGTTGAAAAGGAGATAAAAGTAATAGATATCCTATCCCAGCTGTGTCCTTCATTCCCTCTTGTATGAGGAAAAATTGGACCAGTGATAGTACATCCAAACAAAAGGAAATAAAACTAAGTATCACTAGTTTTATAACTTTAAGTATTCCAAATCCTCAAAGGAGAATTGAGGAGAGCTGATATTTAGTATCCACTTTGCTCCTGGTTCTCAGCACCTATCATTCCCAGGATGCTTTCTGGCCTACTGCATCCTTTGTTTTTCCTCCCCGATCCTGACCTGACCTCTCTTTCAGCACATAGCATCGTCCCACATAAAATTCCACTTCTATTGCCATATTTCAGATTGTTTTTAGGAAAAAATATAGCTATCTGATGAAATTAATTTGTATTTCCATTTGCCATCAATTTGAGGTCATTTTAGATTTGGCTCAATACTGTGTTTAAGATGCTATGACCTTCTCTTTTCACTCTATTGCAAGAAACTCAACTGTAAGCTACGACTAGAAACAGGAAAATAATGGATGTTTCTGCTGGCATATGCTCTGTAAAATATGTAGATTCTGAATATTAGTTTGATGTTCTTACTTTAGGGACTTCTCTCCCAGAGGTTTAATCTATAAGTTGATTTTAATTTTATCATCATTATTTTGACTTATTATGCAAGATTTAATAAATATACTGTTGTTTGATGTAAAATATCCTACATTGTCTAATGAGATGAAATTTATGTAATTCTCTCAAACATGAAGCCCCTTAAAATAGAATTAGGATCTGAAGGAAATCATTTTATAAAATCAAAGCTAATTTATTTCAAAAATCTTACTTTTGTTTTTCTCCAGGTAAGAGTCCCAGGATATTTGGATGGTTGATTTGAATTCTTATCTGCTTGAGGAGACATTGCATCATAAAAAGGTTCAGCCTCAACCTTTCGTAGAGAAAAGAGGTAGGTTAGTTTTCTGATCAGGCAGAATACGGAACCCAAGAGACTTGAAGCTGCTAAAATAATTGTTATTTGATTATCTACTATGATATTTTCTTGAACAAGTTGACTTCAGTCAATTTCACATCTGGAAGAACTAGTTGATTACTAATTTAGGAGAAAGTCAACCTTACTGACTCATACCTCTTGAAATTTGCATACTTAAATTCTGTGTTGATAAATTAGACTTGAGTTATTATGCTATGCCACTAATTTAACTTTTCAGCTGACTTTAAAATTAAAGCCTTTTCTTCTGAAATTTATTTTAAAAAGTCATGTCCATAGAGTAAAAGCTTGTTTTCCTTGCCTATATTTTCTCCCTCAGGAAGCTGTGTAATTCATTCAGTGTTTATAATGGTTACTGACTGATCAGTGAAAATGGGGCAGAAGGGCAGATTTCAGCTCTGCGTCTCCAGTTTGCATTAAAGGCATCCTTTATTTAAAATGGTATTTTACTAATGAATTAGCTTGGACATATCTCAGGAACAGGTCAGAATGGAAGAGGTTAATACATTTCTGTAAGGATTCCCGAACATGATTTGTGTATATTCGTGTATTTCGAGATCCTTAGGGGGCCTTGTAGTAAAATATTCAGGAGGTTTTCTATCTTTTATTTAAGGCTGAATATTCAAGAACTTGCTTAAATAAATGTTTTCTTGTCTTGAATTTGGCCTTATAAATCATAGATAATATATTTATTTTCAGTCTGTTTGTGAGAAACCTCCCGTTTTGATGCCAGAGTTAAGTGAAAGAGAAAAGAGAAAGGAGAAAGCTGCTTCCTTTTATTGTGTGTCTGTTAGGACTCACTGCCACAATGGGGAATACTCTTGGGAATGTTTTTCCAGGATAGACTTTGCATGAGGACTGACTGATAGCCCACAGATAGCTAGGCTAAGCCATGATTAAAGTTCAGTACCTGCTCATGGAACAGAAAGATGCTAAACCTTCCTGGTACTCTTGAATTCATTAGGACTGTGCCAAACAAATTGGCTTTTGTATATACCAGCAGGGTCATTTCCAGACTGAAAAAAAAAGAAAAGAAAGAAAAAAAGAAGAAAGAATAAAAAAAGGGAGAAAGAAATGGGTACAAGGTCTTTGGGAATGAAAGTTGAGGGAGAGTGTTTTTAATATGTCCCTAAGCAGGCCAGCCCCTGATGTTATTGATGGTTCTACACTGGCTGGGCCTGTGGTTGGAGGAAGTGAGATAGGGTCAGAGCTAGTAGAAGTATAAAGTTGGAAATCACAACCATATACAGTGTGAGGGAAGAAGGCAGAAACTGACTCTGGGCTAAGGGCAGGACACCGTTCTATAGTAACTGTTGTTATTATATTAATGCTTGTTGTAGAAATTGTAGCATTTGCATATGAAGAAATCTTACTGTTACAGTATAAACCTTTCATTTTTCAGCTGAGAAATTATATATCCAGAGCATTGAGATAACTTCCCTAAAATTATACATCTAGTTGTGACAGAGCTGTAACCAGAACACAACCATTCACCTTGCCATCCCCTTTCCAGTAGATATTATTATCTCTGGACACACTGTCTCTGTGACTGCAGGTTGCTCATGGCTGTAGTGAGAAATTGTTCAAAGAGTCTTACCATTCAACAAACATTTATTGAGTTGAACTCAATAAATGTATAGATGCCAGGCACTGCTCTGGGAGCTGAAGCTTCTAGAGTGACATAGTCATTGTTTTGATTTTTCCCTGTGACTTCAACTCTTGATGCTCCTTTCCTCTGATCCTTTCTTTCTTTCTTTTTTTTTTTTTTTTTTTTTTAATTTTTAAGCGTTTTGTTAAAGATGGACTCTTGCTGCGTACCCCAGGCTGGAGTGCAGTGGCTATTCACAGATGTGATCATGGGACACTGTAGCCTCAATCTCTTGGTCTCCTGTGATCTTCCCGCCTCAGCCTCTTGAGTAGCTGGGAGTACAGGCCGCCACGTTTTTTATCAGCACCTCTCTGAGACTCATTTTCACAGTTTACATTAGCTTGCTGTTAGTTCTTGCTAGAGTGATGGTAATGGGTGAGAGTGTCACTGGCAGCTGCAGAGGAGAGGGTGTCTGAGGTACACCGAAGTGATTGCTTACACTACATTAAAAGTAAAAAAATGTTCACAAATGTTTGCTTTCTTTAGTCTTTTAGAAAATCAAATGGGGCTCTAATGAAGACATTTTCACAGAGGAAGGAGAAACAATAAATCTTGGTTGTATTTAACTGCAAAAGCTGCCTCCTGAATAAAAATTTGCATATAGATTTCTCATGAAATGTCAAAAAGGCGAAAAGTTTGGAAGTGAGCTTGGAACAGAGTATCTTTATATCATAAAAAATAAATGAATATCTTTATAGCATGAAAAATAGATGATTATTTCCCCCCCCCACATTATGCTATTCATTTTTTCTAAGACTCTCGTGATATCCCAAATGCATATTTTATAATCTTAACATTTTGTAAAAAACCAGAGGTAAGCATTCTTTATTTCTCTCTGCTCCAGAAGAAAGATATACCTCTCCTACTTCAACTTGATGAGGAATATAAATACTATGTTGATAAGGTTATGGCAGAAATTTATTTTATATGGAAATAAGCCACTTCAGGGCCAGGCGTGGTGGTTCATGCCTGTAATCCAGCACTTTGGGAGGCCGAAGCTGGTGGATCATGAGGTCAGGAGACCGGGACCATCCTGGCCAACATGGTGAAACCCGTCTCTACTAAAAATACAAAAATTAGCTGGGCATGGTGGCACGTGCCTATAATCTCAGCTACTTGGGAAGCTGAGGCAGGAGAATCACTTGAACCAGGGAGTCAGAGGTTGCAGTGAGTGGAGATCATGCCACTGCACTCCAGGCTGGCGAGAGAGCGAGACTCTGTCTCAAGTAATAATAATAAAAAGAAACAAGTCACTTCAATAGCTCAGAGTTTAGAGTTAAAATTATCTTAGCATTTTGAAGAATTACCTACCGTTCTGCTCAATGCAGGACTCAGTTAACTATGTCGCTCTAAAACTGAGTCCAGGAATATCTGATTCTTCTATCTTCAGGAAAATTCTACAAGTATTAATGTAATTTGACAATTCTACACAGATTTAGCCTTCACTGAGGGCTGTTGGAAAATATTAGTTGTTCATTGTTAGACATGGTGTTCACTATGTTCTGTGATGTAAGATTAGTTGTTCGCTGACAGACATTGTATTCACAGAATGTTGGGGATGGCTTACATGGTTGCTGCAAGGGGAGATTATATTCTACTCATCTAACCAACATCTTTCACAGGGAAGAATATGACGTAGAAAAGGAGAAGGTTGCTGTGGCTCAGCATAATTTTGTTCCTTTTTTCCTTATTGAAACACTAGTATTTAATTTTTTTTAACTCTTCACATATTTTGAACTTGTTTTAATGATTTACCCCAGGATGAGGAAGCATATTTTGTTAGGGGTAGATGAAGTAGATTAGAATGATACTCTCTCTGCTCCACCCCGCATCCCTAGAGCCTGTCAATATGTTACCATCCTTGGCAAATGGGACTTTGTAAATGTGATTAAGTTAATAGGATATTGAAATGGCGGGGGATTATCCTGGGTTATCTGGGTGGGCCCAAACCAATCACATGGTTTCTTAGCAGTAGAGAACTTTTCTAGGCTGAGATCAAAAAGAGATGTGATACTGGAAGAAATGTCAGAGAGATGCTATGTTGCCAGCTTTGAACGTGAGAGAAGTGGGCCATGAACCAGGGAATGCCAGGGGCCTCTTGTGCTGGAAGAGGTGAGAACAAGGATGACCAGTGGGGCCTTCAGAAAGGCACATAGCCTCGTGAACACCTTGATTTCAGCCCAATGAGACTGTATTAGGCTTCTGATCTTCAGAACTGTGAGATTATGAATGTGTGTTGTTTGAAGTCAAATTATCTACTTTATGATAATTTGTTACTGCAGCAATAGAAAACTGCAGGAGAGATACGATTTAACAAGAGAAAAGGGAGGGTGAGATGACTGGTTGGAGAAGTGGTAAGGGAATAGCAATGGAGCCTGGATTTTTCCTTTTCTATTTTTTTTTAACAGTCTTGTTCTGTCGCCCAGGTTGGAATGCAGTGGCACAGTCTCGGCTAACTGCAGTCTCTGCCTCCTGGGTTCAAGCAATTGTCCTGCCTCAGCCTTCTAAGTAGCTGGGATTACAGGCACGTGCCACCATGCCTGGCTAATTTTTGTATTTTTAATAGAGATAGGGTTTTACCATGTTGGCCAGGCTGATCTTAAACTCCTGGCCTTAAGTAGTTTGCCCACCTTGGCCTCCCAAGGTGCTGGAATTACAGGCACGAGCCAATGCACTCAGCCTGGATTTTTCAAATTAAGGTTTTCACAGATGATTTGAAATTAAGATTACGTGATGAAGCTCCAAGTGTCCTCATAATTTTCTAGCACTTTTCTAGCTAGTGAAATGTCAAACTTCAGCAGCCAACTGAAGGAGAATCTCACTAACATGGGAGCTGAGCTTCTATAAGGGCAAGTGGCCAGCAATAACCTGAGGGAAAATGGCCCACATGGTGTAGTAACAATACCATTTGCTTATGTGCTTTATGATCTGTTTCAGCTTCTGACCTGGTATCTTTAAATACAGTTTTTGCATCTAGTTACCAAGAGTTGCTGGAGCAACACAGACAAAGACTTTTACTTAACCTCAGCCATCGTACGCCTGCTAAAGAAGTCAGCCTGGAACCGGTGTAGAATAGCAATGGGGAGTTAAGGTAACTTGCGGTAGTACAGTTTGGTTTTTTTTTTCCTCCTTACACGAGCAGAACGTTTTAGTTGGGAGAAAGAGATTCTGGATTCAAGAGAGGCTGACAGGATTTTCCTTAAAATAAACCCAGAGAGAAATAGATCCCTTAGAAGCTGTGCCACTCTGCCTACGATAAGAATGCCTGTAGGGGTGAGTATACTTTATATACGCCATAAAGTATATAAATCTATAGAAATATCATGAAATATCTTCCTGGAAGTCAATTAATTAATTGAATAATTTTAAGAAAACATTTCTTAATGTGAAGCAGCAAATTATGAAATAGAAGGCACGATTTATACCAATATTTACAATAAAGACCTCAAAGGAATTTCATGTTGCCACAAACTATAGAGGTTCACCCTCCTCTGCTCCAAGAATGGGAAGAAAGCTTCAGGAAGCACTGGTGAAAGGCAAGCAAATAACAGCTTACTTTCTTTTCCCAGATTCTTCCTTCTATGGAGCATCACAAATGACTGAGGTTTTCTAGATGGTTACTTCTTTTTTTAAAAAAAAATTATTTCTATAAATTAGGGGATACACGTGCGGTTTCTTTCTTTTTTCTGTTAAATTCTTTTTGTGGGGAGACAGGGTCTTTCTTTCTCACTCAGGCTGGAGTACGGGTGGCATGATCACAGCTCACTACAGTGTCAACCTCCTGGGCTCAAGCAATCCTCCCACCTTAGCCTTCTGAGGAGCTGGGACCACAGGTGCGAGCCACCACGCCAGGCTAATATTTTTTTATCTTTTATTGAGACAAAGTCTTACGATGTTACCCAGGCTGGTCTTGGGTTATGGGACTCAAGCAATCCTCCAGCCTCAGCCTCGTAAAATGCTAGGATTACAGAAGTAAGCCACCATGAAGGCTAGTGTATCGTTACTTGTGTAATATACAACATATTATTTTTGCATGCAATATTATCAAATGAAAGTCCTTATATTTGTAAATATCTCTTGACATTTAAGCCCCATGTGGAAAACATATCTGCCGAGCAAGTTAGTTTATTTGCTTATTTAAGTGTATGTTTTGCAGCTGGATTATGCTAAAAGGTTATGTTACGTCCCAAGAGTCCTACTGAGATGTTTTATGGCTCAGATGAACATTTGGTTATCTTGTTTTACATTTTTTCTAAGCTAAAATTTTTATGACTATTAAGCTATAGCAGAACCATTTGGCATCAAGGTTGTCTAGTGAAGTGTGGACTTTCGGTGTGCCTGTTAAAAACCACTTGGCATCATGGTTGTCTAGTGAAGTGCGGACTTTCGGTGTGCCTGTTAAAAACCACTTGGCATCATGGTTGTCTAGTGAAGTGCGGACTTTCGGTGTGCCTGTTAAAAACCACTTGGCATCATGGTTGTCTAGTGAAGTGCGGACTTTCGGTGTGCCTGTTAAAAACCACTTGGCATCATGGTTGTCTAGTGAAGTGCGGACTTTCGGTGTGCCTGTTAAAAACCACTTGGCATCATGGTTGTCTAGGGAAGTGTGGACTTTTGGTGTACCTGTTAAGAACCATTTGGCATCATGGTTGTCTAGTGAAGTGTGGACTTTCGGTGTGCCTGTTAAAAACCATTTGGCATCATGGTTGTCTAGGGAAGTGTGGACTTTTGGTGTACCTGTTAAGAACCATTTGGCATCATGGTTGTCTAGTGAAGTGTGGACTTTCGGTGTGCCTGTTAAGAACCATTTGGCATCATGGTTGTCTAGTGAAGTGTGGACTTTCGGTGTGCTTGTTATCCAAATAGTTTACATTTCACCCATTAAGTAATTTTTCATTCCTCAGACCCTCCCACCCTTTCTAGTCTTCAATGTCTGTTATTCCACATTCTGTGTTCATGTGTATATATGATTTAGCTCCCATTTGTAAGAGAGAACATGTGGTATTTGGCTTCCTGTTTCTGAATTATTGGAATTAGAGGCCATCATCTTAAGTGAAATAACTCGGAAACAGAAGGTCAAATAGATCTAAATGATAACCTGGAGTGTGTTCTATGAACTGGTCTATCTTGCAGCATTGAATTGTAGTGTGTGTGTACTCTTCACAACTTATCCTGAACTTTTCTCTCCAGAGTGGCTCCTACATATCTGTCATTCATCTTCTGTTAGAGCCAAGCCAAACTGTTCAGTGACCTCTGAGTAACCTTGGTGTGTCCTCCAGGGCTGCCCATCTCTTCATGTCAAAATCTAGCTTGTTCTCAGGTCCTGCTCAGATGCCATCTACTTCCTGAGGCCTTTCCAGACTCTCCAAGCAAGTGCTCTTTCTGTCTGAGTGCCCATACCTTTTTACAAAAATTATTATACTCTAAGTTCTGGGGTACATGTGCAGATCATGCAGGTTTGTTACATAGATATACACGTGTCATGGTGGTTTGCTGCATCTATCCCACTGTCATCTATATTAGGTATTTCTCCTAATGTTATTCCTCCCCAATTTCCCCAACCCCCGACAGACCCTGGTGTGTGATGTTCCCCTCCCTGTGTCCATGTGTTCTCATTGTTCAACACCCACTTATGAGTGAGAATATGTGGTGTTTGGTTTTCTGTTCTTGTGTCAATTTGCTAAGAATGATGGTTTCCAGCTTCATCCATGTCCTTGCAAAGGACATGAACTCTTCCTTTTTTATGGCTGCTTAGTATTCCATGATGTATATGTGCCACATTTTCTTTATCCAGTCTGTCACTGATGGGCACTTGGGTTGATTCTAAGTCTTTGCTATTGTAAACAGTGCCACAATAAACATAAGTGTGCATGTGTCTTTATAATTGAATGTTTTATAATCCTTTGGGTATATACCCAGTAATGGGATTGCTGGGTCAAATGGTATTTTTAGTTCTAGATCCTTGAGGAATTGCCACACTGTCTTCCACAATGGTTGAACTAATTTACACTCCCACCAACAATGTAAAAGCGTTCCTATTACTCCACATCCTCTCCAGCTTCTGTTGTCTCCAGATGTTTTAATGATTGCCATTCTAACTGGTGTGAGATGGTATCTCAATGTGGTTTTGATTTGCATTTCTCTAATGACCAGTGGTGATGAGCTTCTTTTGTTGGCTGCATAAATGCCTTCTTTTGAAAAATGCCTGTTCATATCCTTTGCCCTCTTTTTGATGTTTTTTTTTTTCTTGTAAATTTGTTATAAATTCTTTGTAGATTCTGGTTACACCTTTTATCTCTTTACTTCTTCCTAGGGTATTGTCTTGGGTTAGGTTTCTGGGAAAGCAGACTCTAAGAGGCAGGTTGGTGTGTAGGAAGTCTAGTGGGTGTGTTCTTTGGGATTGATGACTAAAGAAGGGAAGGAAGCAAGACTGGGCAGAGGGAGAAGTTGGGCGGGGATACAGTCCAAAGGAAAACCACAGTTGACCAAAAGGGGAACTCTGGAATGAGGATGACCTTCACAGTTGTTCCAAGTTAAGGTGAAGAGGTTGTGCCTTTACCCCTTTGCGTAGAGTGGTTGTTGTCTCTGGCTGCCTGGGAATGAGCTTGCTGGATTTAGCAAATAAAATATACATTGTCCAATTACATTCGATTCTCAGATCAGCAATGAATAATATATTAGTATAAATGTGTTCCATGCAATATTTTGGATATACTCTAATTTGTTGTTGATCAGACATTTAAATTTGAATTAACTGTATTTTATTTAGCAACACTACACAGGAAGGAGCATGGCCATGGCCCAAGTAATTCTCTTCAGGAGGGTCAATCCCCAGAGGCTAGCAGAGGAGAGTTGAAAGAGGGCAGCATGCCTAGCGGTTGGGGGATGCAAGTTTTTGGTCTTGACAGGGGATCTGTGCTATGCAGCACATTTCCCCTAGGCACACATCCCTGCCCAGTTTACATTGTCATTAGTTGTCAATGTGATAGTCAGGTTGGTGTACGTGGGCTTTTAGGAATTGAATACTAATATTTGGTGGGAATAAAACAAGGAGGTTTAGGCCAGGCACAGTGGCTCATGCCTATAATCCCAGCACTGTGGGAGGCCGAGGTGGGTGGATCACCTGGGGTCAGGAGTTAGAGACCAGTCTGGCCAAAATAGTGAAACCCTGTCTCTACTCAAAATGTAAAAATTAGCTGAGCCATGGTGGTGAGTGCCTGTAATCCCAGGTACTTGGGAGACTGATGCAGAAGAATCACTTGAACCTGGGAGGTGGAGGTTGCAGTGAGCTGAGAGTGCACCACTGTACTTCCACCTGGGCGACAAGAGCGAAACTCCTCAAAAACCCAAAACAAACAAACAAAAACCAACCAACCAAACAAACAAAAAACCATGGAGGTTTAGTGGTTACTCTTCCTCATTTTAAAAAAGAAAAGTACCAGTTCAAGATGAGCTAGGTGAATGGCCTCCAGTTCCCCAGTTCCCAAGGGAAAAAAAAAGATATTCTCCTATACACCAAATATTTTTTTTTGTCAGTAACCAGAACTGACCAGAATTGACAACTGGTTCAGTTATGTAATAGTTTCACAAAGAGTAGATACAGAGCAATTATTATGAAATGAAAGTTCTTATATTTGTAAATATCTCTTGACCTTTAAGCCCCTTGTGGAAAATGCATCTACCCAGCAAGTTAGCTTACTTGCTTATTTAAGTGTATGTTTTGCAGCTGGAATATACTAAAAGGTTGTGATACCTTGTGAGAGTCTTATTAAGATGTTTTATGGCTCAGATGAACATTTGGCTATCCTGCTTTACATTTTTTTCTAAACTAAAATTTTTACGGCTGTTAAACTATAGCAGAAACATTTGGTGTCGTGGTTGTCTGATTGCCTTTATGTTAACATGAACGAAAAATCTTGTTCAGAGATCTTGGCTCTGGCTGGGGGTTGTCACTTGGCCTGTCTCTGCAGGGAGGTGACAAACTGATTTTCAGGCATTTGCCATTTTTTGGTCTCTTCTGATTTTAGGTGAGCCAAATCATACAGCTGTGCACTTCACAGGAATAGAGAATACCTGCTTTCCAAATGCTTTTAGGGAATATAACCCCAGTTTGTGGCTTTATCATAATGATCAAATCCATATAAATGAAAGATTGTTCAAAAATTTGCAGTTTATGCGTTCCTTCAGATATTATGAAGTCTCTGTCTTGAGTGCTGAAAGCTATATTCTTATATCACATTGTTTTGACTTTCATAGTCTTGCTTTTGGTAAATTCTATTTTAACTTTATCCTTTGTTTACCTCAGAGAATATTATACAAAAGAATTCTGTGAATCCTACCAGTAATGATATAATAATAATGCTGATAATTTATGAATTCATTATTCAATACATAGATATTGAACAATTTCTACATGCCAGATAATCTTCTAAACTGGAATACCAATGAATGAGATAGACAAGAATCTCTGCGTTTATTTGACTTATTTTTAAGTTAGTGGGGAGAAAGATTACAAAAAGGGAAAGAAAATGTGAGTTGCTGGTAAGTGCTACAGGAAGAAATAAAGCAAGAGAGGGAGTTGGGTGTTGCAATTTTAAATAGGCTCACCAGTGAAGGTGTCCTGATGATACCCGGCATGACACACATTATTTCGCTTAGTATTTTACATGAGGATGTTCATTATTTTATCCTGTGAAGTGTTCACTATGTTACAAGCTGCCTTCTTTATGAGGACTCGTGGGAGAACTTGCGCTTTGATGTTAGAACTGGCAGTCGTCGGGCTTCTCTTGAGTGACTGGTTTGTTTTTATCTTCTAGGCACCAAGAATCATGTAACAGATCATGGTCACCTCTTTGTTGAGATTAAAAGGAAACTTAAAACTTTGGCATGAACTTGGAGTACTGACTTTACTCTTGGCTTCACCTTACCTTTTCTACCTTATTTTAGCCTTTGTCCCAATTGACTCACCTACTTATTTTACGTTTTATTTTATGCTGTGTTGTTATATTTACTTTGGTAACCTTCCTTATTTTTTAAACAAAGTAAGGCATAAATAGAAATAAATACCCACATAATTATATGCACATACTATACATACATATATACGTAAGTCATCATATGAAGATATAGTACATCTTCCTTATTTCAGTGTGCCTTGAACCTGGAGTTCTTATCTGAAAAAGTTTTTTATGCTTCACAGAGTGTTCCTTTATAGGTGCTCAATACATATTTATGGAATAACAGTTTTAGTAGTAGTTATAATTTAAATGAGAAAGATATTCATGAGTATCTTAAGAGTTTGAATATCAAGCAAATGAAATATTGCTGAGGTTTAGTTTTCAAAATCATTATATGTAAAATACAAGCTCTTTAATATAAAGGTGTGAGGAAATCTGAAATATAATTAATGTGTAATTATGACTCTTCTAAACCTCTTTCTAAAAGTTTTCAATGACTAGGTTTTAATAACTCTGGCTGACAGTCCTTTGAAACCTATTACCCTCCAGAGAAATTTGTTTGCACACAAAAATTGCATGCAGTATTAAAGGAGTTAGGGACACACCAAAGCTCCTCCATCAACCAACCCCAGGTTATGAACCCCCGCTATATGTTTCTCTTTTTAAATAATATATGCTCTTAAAATTTTAATAGTCAAAAGAAAAAACAAAGCAGAAAAATACCTATAACCCCAGCACCATGGGGCAGCTATTTTTGATCCTTTTATTTTCATTAAAAAAATTGTTGCATTTACATTATTGATATGATTTTATATCCAAAAATTTTTGCATTACAATATACAGTAAGTAGTTCCCAATGAAATAAAAAATTCTTCATAAAACATCCTTTTAAATGTTTGTATAGTATTTCAGTGTATAAATATACTATAATGCACTTAAACATTTTCTAATGTCTGTTTGGGTCTTCCCTTACCCTTCCATTATTTGCCACAAAGTTGCTATGAACATCTTAGAGCCAGATCTTTGTTAATATATTAAGAAATTTCCTAGGATTACCTAGAAGAATTACTAGGTGCAAATGTATATTATAACTAAAATGAATGATATGAAAATTATTTTTCAGAAAGGTGCTGGTACCAGCAGTTTGTGAAAGTATTTAAATTATTTTCTATTTTACCGCATTCTTGCCAGAATTGAGTAATATCATTAAAAACAGAAATAATCAAAGAAACAAAAGCTTATTTTATTTGATAGGTGAGGATTGGTGCCATTTTGATTTTAATCTGCATTTCTTTGGTTACTAATGAGGTTTACTTCTAAAACTATGTTTTCAAGAAAAACTTAAAAACTTTGCCTATCTTTTTAGGGAGTTATCATGCGTTTGGTTCACTAATAAGTTGAGGGGTGTTTTTTTTTTTGAGATGGAGTCTCACTCTGTTGCCAGATTGGAGTGCAGTGATCTTGGCTCGCTGCAACCTCTGCCTCATGGGTTCAAGTGATTCTCCTGCCTCAGCCTCCCGAGTAGCTGAGACTATGATTTTTTTCTTATTGTATGTGCTTTTTGTACACCAAAATCTCCTGGTAAAGTTTATTCTTTTTCACATAAATTCTACAGTTTTTAAAGTTCATTTCTAGGTATTACATCTTTTGTTTTTCGTTGCTATAATGCAAAAGGAACTTTATTTCATTATATTTTCTAACTTGTTATTATTTCCATACATAAAGGTGATAGATTTCTATATATTCATGTTTGAAAAGATTTTCAGTTGAACCTCTTGGAATTTTTAGGCATATTCTCAGTTGTTGTCTGCAAAGAAAGATTCTTTCCCCCCCCAATATATATCCTCTTCTTTGAAGAAGGTAAGGCATGAATAAAATAAAAACCCACATAATTACATGCATACACAATACACATATACATACATGCATACATACATAAATCACCATGTGAAGATACAGTACATCTTCCTTATTATTTCACTGTACCTTCAGCTGGAGTTTTTTAGCTGAAGTTTTTTGCTTTATAGAGTGTTCCTTTATAGGTATCTTACACTGGTTAAAGCCTCCAGAACAATGTCAAATAATGGTTATGATATTGGCTATCATGTATTTTGTTTCTTACTTTAATAATGATATCTGTAATATTTCATTGTTAAGTATAATAGCTGTAGGCTTAAAATAGATCATTAGGGATGAGCTGAGATTTTTATCAAATGTCTATTCTGCATGTCTGATGATCTTATGGTTTATTTTTTATTGGCTTATTGATCTGATACTTTTTATTCAGTAATAATTTTTGCATTATGGGAATAATTTTATTTGGTTATGGTAGATTTTTCTTTTAAAGTTAAGCTGATTAAATTTGCTGGTATTTTATTTAGAATTAATATTGATATTTAAAAAAATGAGGCTGGTGTGTAGTTTTATTGTTTAAAACCCTTCCCCAGGCTCAGGACATTGATGAGACAGGCAGCGTCTGTTTCTCCCTCTACCTTTTTCTTTTTGTGGCTCTTTTGGAGTGGTGGTGTGTGTGTAGGAGAAGCAATGAGAGAGAGAAAATAAACTCTTCGAACTTGAAAAACATAGTAATCCTGTGTTGTAGTGATCTCTTGGCTCATACCATCTGGCCTTAGGTATTTTCTGTGTGGTGGGACCCATTAGGATGTGTTTGTGTGTGTGTGTGCACATGCGCACACACACACACATACAGACAGACAGAGAGACAGAGAGAGAGACAGAGAGAGAGAGAGAAATTAAGAGAAATTTATTTTAAGGAATTGGTTTATGTAACTGTAGAGAGCCAGCAAGTTCAAAGTATGCAGGGTAGGCCAGTGGGCTGAAGAGCTGGGAAAAAGTAAATGTTGCAGTTTGAGCTTGCAGACCATCAGCTGATAGAATTCCCTCTTGGTGGATATCAGTCTTTTCTCTCCTTAGACCTTCAACTGATTGGATGAGGCCCACCCACATTATGAAGGGTAATTGGCTTTACTCAAAGTACGTTGATGAAATACTAATCTCATCTAAACACACTTTTATAGATACATCTAGAATAGTGCTTGATTGAATACCTGAGCACTGTGGCCTATCCAAGTTAGCACATAAAATTAACCATCACAGGCCCAGTCAGTGCACAATTCTTTTGTCTCTGTGACCCTCTCCCCACAGCTCTCACCCCTGCAGTACACTTGCCTGGTAAGTCACTTTCCTTGTAGGGGTATCTTCAAGAAGGTTCAAGCCTGCCTAACTTTCCTGCTGTCCTCTTGGCCATGTGAAGAGGTGTCCTCCTGTCTTTGTCTCACTGCACTGTTGCCTCTTCTTTTCCATTCCATTCTACTCTAGCCAGTAGAGTAGAGCTTTCATTATTCTCCAGAGAAGACATTTCCATTTTCATATAAGACCCCCAACTCTCAAGAAGACATGTCAAACTTCAAAGAACTTTTACTATATGCTCCCATGCTCTGATGGCAACATCTAAATAGGTTTGCAAGTCTGTGAAGTTCAGCATGTGAAGGAGTCAATGGGGGAGCTGTGACGCAGATCCGCTTTTCTCGAGGACACCCCCAGTTTGGTTTCATAGAGCTGGGGGATGGTGCTCCCTCCACTCCTCCACAAAGAGAAAAGCCATGGCACACTTCCCCACTGAGGCCTACTCTAAAATCTTTCTCTGTTCAGCTAACCTTCTTTTGAGTTGTTTTCCTTTGGTGAGCAGGTTGCCATATAGACAGTGAGCCCTGTTTTATAATATAAGCCCTGGAGGGTGTATATGGCAGGTCCTTAGTGTTCTCTTGGTAATTGGAAACTACATAGCTTCTAATAAACTGAATTTTGGGACTCTAAACAACATTCTAGAACAATAGAAAAGTCTTTCCAATATCATGATGTGACCATTGCTATTTCTTTTATTTTTAATCTTTATTTTTATTTCACTTTTATAAATAGAAATTTGTACTTTAAAATATTTCAATGTAAGAAAATCCTTCTTTTAATAAAAGGGAAGATTCTCTTTAATTTTTCTCATGCACCTATATTTGGTTTTTCCTCACGTAGGTTATGCTGTTTTTCTATCTCCTTGTGCTTTCTATTGTTTTCTGTCTTTGACTCTATTTACTGAGTGCTTACATTGTTTTTTAAATCGCGGTGTCTTTTTTTTTTAAATATTTAAATTTAAGTTCCAGAATACATGTGCAGAAGGTGCAGGTTTGTTACATAGGTATACATGTGCTATGGTAGTTTGCTGCACCTATTGACTTGTTTAAGTTGTGTTTTAAAAATTAAATGATTTTGGTGAAACCCCGTCTCTACTAAAAATACAAAAAATTAGCTGGGCATGGTGGCGCGTGCCTGTAATCCCAGCTACTCAGTAGGCTGAGGCAGGAGAATTGCCTGAACCAGGAGGCGGAGGTTGCGGTGAGCCGAGATCACGCCATTTGCACTCCAGCCTGGGTGACAAGAGCGAAACTCCATCTCAAAAAAAAAAAAAAAAAAAAATTAAATAATTTGCCTTTATTTAGAGTAGTGATTACCTTTAATATTAAATATTTAATCAATTGTTCTCCCTTTATTGAAATCAAGAACAGAATTATAATGTTTTTTGTTGTTGTTGAGACAGAGTTTCACTCTTGTTCAGGCTGGAGTGCAATGGCATGATCTCGGCTCACTGCAGCCCCCATCTCCTGGGTTCAAGTGATTCTCCTGCCTCAGCCTCCTGAGTAGCTTGGAGTATAGGCATGCACCAGCATGCCTGGCTATTTTTCTATTTTCAGTAGACACAGAGTTTCACCATGTTGTCCAGGCTGGTCTTGAACTCGTGACACCGTGATCCCCCCACCTCAGTCTCACAAAGTGCTGGGATTGCAGGCGTGAGCCACCATGCCTATGGCTGTCTTACTCTTTTCAGTTCCCATCCTTCCCTCTTGTGTCCTTTAAGGGCTTGTAATTTAAATTGATATAACAAAGCCACATTTTCATTAAATATCATTTATTGTTTTAACCATGGAAATAATTTTTTAAGACTTATTGGTACTTTGGATTTTGAATTGAGTTTTTCAAGCATTTTAACAAATTTTGTGCTCACTATCAGTATATTTATGTTATCATTTTTACTTTTTTGCATTTATAATTTTGATTCGTCACTTGTTTACTTACATTGTTTTTGATGATGGTTTCAGGAAGGCTATCGTTATACTTTCACAATTTCTGTATAGCTAGATAAATCTTTTTACTATTTTCACATCCGAATAAAATTTTTCTATATTTTGAATTCTTGAGTCAAAACAGTAATTCCTCAAAATTCTGTAAACATTGTTTAATTGCATAGTGGTGTTTAGTATTTCTAAGAAATCTAAGGTCAGCTTGATATTTTTTTGTCTGAAAGCTCCTGGTATATTTTCTCTTCCATTGACATTTAAAACTTTTGTTGGGTTAGATCTGAGTATAGGTCTTTTAAATTAGCTTTCTTAGACATAATCTTTCTTAAAAAAACACACACACAACTTCGGGTTGGGCATTCTGATTTCAGAGAATTTCACTAATCCAGGGATTTTACTGATAGTATTCATCAAAATATTTTTGAATATTGGAGAATTCAAACTCCAGTTTGCTTAAACAACAAAGTGTTATCTTAGATAAAGAGCTGAATGGTGCAGAGACAGGAAGGTGTTTAGGCATTGCATATCCTAAATTCCTATTGTTATCAGGGCATCAATTCTCCAGGCTCTGCCCTTCTCTAGTCCTTTGCAAGCTTCATTCTCAGGATAACTTTCTTCATTTAAGTGTTATGGTTACCAGCAATTTCCAGGACTACAGGCTTCCTTATTAATATCTAGGAGGAGAGACAGCATCTGTTCTCACATTCGTTGAGTAAAACCTCTGTGTTTCACTCTGATTGGGTAATTGCAGGTCATATGCCCACTTAGAACCAATCATTATGAGAATGAGGCAGGACTTCCTTGATTGGCTTAGAGCAGTCAACTTTCTTTCACTTCTGCTCTCATCTCTGTTATTGTTTGCATTTCTTACATCTTTCTATTTTTGTTTTGGGAGACTTTCAAGTTTATCCTCTACATTG